GTTGGCAACTAAAATCTGATTCTATGAAAGCACAGAATACTTTTATTTCTTCTACAGCTTGATTATCAAACACATCAGCAATAAGAGAAATGAAAAAAAAACCAAACCTGTTTCCCAAATTAAATTTTGAACAGGATACTTCCTACTCAGTCAGAATTTTAAAGATGTTTTAATGAATGTCTAAAAACCAAAATACTCATATCCTAAAACTATGTGGATAATCCAAAATACCTGTCAGAAACCTACAACTCTTGATACTTATTTGTACAGCTGTTAAAATCTGTGTCTCACATACGACAAAAAGCAACATGCAACATTAAAAAGCATGTACAGAAAAATACTATGAACATTTCATCTTTACGGTTTCTATTTTGCAGAGAAATTTGAAAGCTTCCTTAACCATGATATAGAAACCACATGATGTTGGATCTCAATGCAAATCTTCCTGCAGCTACCTCATCAAATACATTTGGAGGTTATTCAGCACTTTACGCCAGCAAACTCTCAGAAGTGAGAGCTCTAAGGTAGGCAATCACTCTTAGTTCTTGCCATAGGAATCAAGATTTCAAACTGTGAGAAATCCACCAGCTACAGGAGCTCACATCTCATAATCCTATCTTAGCAATGGATTCTGAAGCACTCCCTTGCTTGACTTTGAGTTTAGCTGCTAAATCACTCAGTGTGAGCACAAAAGGCTTTGGATGTGAAAAGGTTTGTTTCTCAATTTTTCTACACTGAAACATACAGTAACTTCTGCACTTGGGTGAATTCGAAACATCAAAACATTAATATTGTAGGAAATTAATTTTTTAACCTACTGGATGAAATAATGAAAATTTGCTAAACGGAACTTCAGACTCTGAGGACAGGCTCTGTAAGAAGACTTATTCATACTGACTTTTCATTAGTCAATTAATTTCCCTTGGTACGTGCTGAGTAATGTGGGTTTTAGTCCTTACCAGTAATACCAGCTTTGAGTTCAAAATAAAGCATGGCTTTAACAAGTGCTATGCTTTCCCCATTGAATATAATCACTCAAAAAAAAAATCTACTACAACTTAAGTGATACAAAATCGGGAAGAACAGGAATAGAATTTAAAACATTATTTAGTGTTTTGAGGGAAAGATGTTCTTGGATTTACCAATGATTTCTAGTAATGAAAGAAAAAAATACACCAGGAAAATATTTTAAATTCTAATTTAAGACTTTTCCATCATAGACAAGTGACATTAAAGTCCTTTCATTCCCACAATTGCACAATAATTATTTTTCTAAATTTAGGTATTTAAATGCACCGATTATCAAAAAAAAGAAAAATAATCCTTACTTGCTTTTATAATATTCCTTAAACTTGGGAATTGTAACAACAAATGAAATGCCTCTTCAGTCTGCCCTCCTTGATCAATGCTAGATTTTAAAAATGGAAGTAATTTTCCCTTTTCAAATGTACCATATGATTTCTTAGGCACAATGAATTTTCAAGAAGCAGTAGGAAGACTTGAAAAATAACCTTCCATCAACTATTTAAATCACACTTGTAAGTACCTCAATATTTATTACCTGACAGACAGTGTAAGATAAGAGGATGTTCAATCGGTAGAAAATATCAATCAAGTAAAACTTGTCATGCATCACCCGAATAAAATTCATAATTGGATAAGTTTTTTGTGTCATTTTCTTGAAACCCTCTTCCACAATAATGTGTTCCTATTTTTGTGGCTGAGAAGAGACGATTTTATTTTTTCTTCATGCACTGTTTGCCCTAGAAGTTTCATCAATAAAACCCCCAAAATCTGTGTGCTTTAGTGGACTACAATTTTTTCCAATTATTCTGGAAAAACCTTCGCACACAAACAGACATTTTTTGCAAACTTGTGTCTTTTGCCAAAATATAGCCTTACAGAACACCATGAACTGTCCCCCCAGGCTGGATTCATAAGCATTATCTTTGGATAAATGCAATTCCAAGTTATTAAATCTAAGACAATGGCCTGCTGGAATAATGGAAGAGCCACACTGGTGCATGTGTATAACAGAGGGAAAAACATCAAGAACAAAATCACTGTTTAATGCTCTGTAATCACTGAAGAGTCAAATCAGACATGAGAATGTAGGGGAAATGAACAAACAGTAATAGCATTGCTGTATTATGCAAAAAGGTAAAGTGGCTGTTTAGAAACAGATTAAGGAGGCAGAAAGAGAAAAATTACAAACCAGAATACAGAAAATATGAAATAGGGAGCATCATTTTAATGACTCACCAGCCAAGAAAAAGGATAATACATGAAATGTAAAGGCAAAATTAAACTTTCTGAAAGAGAAAGAAACCAGGTAAGAAAGAGAAGGAAACCAGGTTTGATTTGTCAACTGCCTGTAATAGTACAACATGCAAAGTATTTGGCAAAACACATAAAAAAAACAATTTCAAAAAATATACATACACACCTACATATATATGCATTATTAATATACTTCATATAAAACCCAGAATTTGTCTGGGTTGAAAAGACTGTCAAAAATCACTACCACCAATTGCTTTATTTCTTCTTCACTGGAGTAACTAGTACTGGAGACTGACAGAGACAAGATATGTTGCTACCAGAAACCTACTTTTTCATGACAAAGCAGGCAAAGACAAAACTATTTTTTTGTATCTGTAATCCAGACAAAACTTTGATTAAATGTGATTTTGAACTTACATGTCCTTCACGAAAATGACACATGTGAAGAATTTATTTGGAGGCCACCCAATTAATTTAGTTAGGGGCTGAACTACAACTTGGAAACTAGAGGAACTATCAGAGTAGTACTAGAGTAGTTCAGAGAAAAAAATGGGGAATTTACTACATCTTCAGGAAAACAGTGTGAATTCTGTAAGTGCTCAGTGCACTGACTTGAAGATTCAGCAGATAAAGCACGTGCTAGAACTGGCTGATCGAATTAAACAGATAATACACTTGGAACGAAAAGAAATCCCTGCGTCTGACTCTGCTGGGAAGAAGGGATGCTTTCTTTACTTTTGGAGTGCAGCAGAGAGGAGAGGAGCTGTGCAGAGGCAAGGGGAGCAGCTGCTGTGATCATCAGGCAGCTCCGTCTGCGGCGTGCGGAGCCAGCACATGTTGGGCTGCGCTCTCATCCCGCCAGCATCCCCAATTAACAGTGCCAGGGAGGCTGCACACATGCTCCCAGGGGCTCTCTAACAGGCTGCTTGGAGAGGGCAGCAACTGCACAGCAGGGCTCTGGGAACTCACTAATGTGGGCTAGGAGGGACCCTCAGCAGCTTTGCTCCTCCTAATGACAGCTCTCTCCACAGCGCCGTGCTTAACGGGTGCACCAAGTTTCACAGTTTAAAAAAAAAAATAAAATTAATGCCTGTGTTTGTTTAAGACAGCTAAGAAAAGATTCTGCACATTCTGTACATTTATTTTTTTTTTATATTCAGAATTTTCTAGCACTTACTGTTAAAATTAAAAATTCAGTTATTTAAAAAACGTGGTATAATTTCAATCCTAACTCCCTGGAATTTATAATCACAAACCAATAATCAACTTCTCGAGTAAGTTTGAAACAAACTTCAGTTTCTGTCTTAGAGACACTTCTGTGCTTCTCTAAAATACAAACGTAATTTTTATTGGCATGATATATAAAGAAGACAACAATAGAAAGGGTTGTATATCCCTATTATGGACACACAATTCCAGTGTGTAAGAAGTAGGATCATAGTTTTATATTCATAAATTCTATTTCTTGCATTAAATTTAACTGTCTCTCCTTCTAAAGGCAGACTGACACTTCATATTTAAAAACAATAACTAAGGAAATGGAGGTATGTACTGCAAGAGAAACATTCATACACTTTGGACTACAATGATAAAACTAGAAAACTAACCCCCTTTATTTTCAAAGGATTAATTGCATGGTATCTAAATAAATAACATTTGCTGGTATTCAAAGACTTTTAACAAAATGTAGTACCTGTGAGTCATGTACCTACTTAAGCCAGGATTTAATCTATTGATAAATTCACCTACTATGAAAATATTTTGCATAATATAGGGTTTTATCCAGTACTTTTTTACTATAATCAAATCAAATATCTAAAATTATAGGCTCCCTGTGCATTGTGAATAATAATATTTTTGCTTTTGTAAGCTACAGTATCACTCACAGAACAAAAGACTATCTACATTTTTCTTTTTGCTAAAAAAGTTTATTTTCAGAAGATGTATTTAAGTCTCTGTATACTATCAGGAACAATGATGTGAATTGCTTCTGATTTTGCAGTTGGGAAAATGGCTCATGCCATGCACTGGTTTGCTCCTAGTCCTAATATAAGAGGATATTAGAATTGCAGAGCAAATCTGTACCTTTAAAAAGAAAATCAGATATCACTACAATAAGCATTTTAGATAAAGACAGCAGACTGCAAAGCCTTGTATTGATACTCTAAAAGGCATTCTGAAAGCACTGGGAAAGTGCATAGAGATGTTGTAAAAATAATTGAAAAAGAGAACATTATAGGTATTCACATTCCCTACAGTTTCTGAAATTTTGACAATTTTTGTAAAAAGGAATAAGACTCACATTTGGCATAACTGTTCATAAAATTCTTAATTGGATAAGTTTTTGTGTCATTTTTTTGAGGCCCTCTTCCAGAACAATGTATTCCTATTTTTGTGGTTGAGAAAAGAGAATTTTATTTTTTCTTCATGGACTGTTTACCCTAGAAGTTTCAGCAATAAAACCCCCAAAATCTGTGTGCTTTAATAGACTACTAAATAATGTTCCTACAATAATTTTATACTTAGGTCTTTGTAGATTTTGCAGCATGACTCTCCCACAAAATCATAAAGCAGAAGATATAGTCATGTTTTAAGTTCACACTTTGAACAAAAATACTTTAAAAATGTCCGAACTGCATTTGTTTTTTTACCACAAGCTTTAAACTTTTGCTAAGTGGTGTGCCAGCTCTGCAATCCAGCAAAAGCAGCATTCCTACCTGGATGAGGTGAGCAGGCATGGTGATGATGCAGGCTGACAAGGATTTCCTGAGCAGGCCACGCAGAACATAGAGGAATTTTGTCAGGCTCTGAGGATCTTCAGGAGTATCACTGCAACAAACATCATCACCCCACAATATTGAACCCAGACTCTGGATTCCTATCCTCAAAACATTCCTTTGTTTTTGCTGTTGGGGGAATAAAAGAAAAGGTTGTTACTTTTTAAATGTTAGGAGGAACACAATTTCTAGAATGCATATCCATAATAATTATGTGTTTTATGTAATCATAGTAATCTCTATCCATCTCATAAAAAATGCAAATGGAATGGGATTTTTTTCACTGCTTAGATATCATGGATAAGCAAGTACAAATGTAATGGACACATGTAAATACTGAGAACTATTAATTTGTATTTTTTTACCAGCTAAATATAAGTATATTCTGAAATAAAATCCAGTAACACCTTTCAGGTCCTTTCCCTGCTCCGTGATTGTCTTAAAAAACACATAGAAGAATATTTCTCCCAGTTCTGAGACAGTCTGGTGGAGTAATCAAACACATTTCACCTTTCCACTGTGTCACTTTCATAATCTGACTATTCCAATGTTTGCTTCAGTTCCACTTTTCCTGCTCTTTCTAAGAGAACAAGGTCAGTGCCTCAGCTCACCAGCACAACACCAGCCTGTCAAGTCTCCAAGTATCATTGATGTCCCTTTCAACTCCTTCCCACTAAGGAAGGAAGTTGTAGCCACAGCTGGGGAAGCTCAGAGTCTGATGGGGACATCAGCAGACTGTCCCTTAAGGACCACACCTTGACATGAGAGTTTCTGGTTTGCTTTAGAGGCAGTGGCCAAGGTAAAGCTCCTTCTCTGAAGGGACAGATGAAGTTAAAGTTGCAATTTGTTTATGCAAAGTAAAATGTTATCTCTCATGACAACAACTCTCATTTCTGCTTGTTTGATGTGACATTTTCTGGTGGTCTTTAGAAAGGATTTTAGATATATTTTCTATGAATAGCTGAAAAAGAGACGTGTTCAACTCCCTCGTTGAAAAGACTTCCTGCGCAAGGTAATCAAAGAAACATTTCTAGTGTTCAGGGTTCATACTTGAAGACCAGCTTTCTTTAATTATACACACACATACACACATATATATACATATAAATACTAATTTTGATAAGTAAAAGCTTGCAGGAACTTTTCACAAGAGAAAAGTGTTTTGATAAACTGCAGTGATGCCTCAGGTTTAGCTTTTCTATTTTTCACATTCTGTGCTGCTTTAGTGTGCACTTCTGAGCTTCACATGAGGGGATGCTGAGCTCTCTGCACAGAGCAGGGACACAAAACAATTCCTTCTCCAGCTGGGCACCAAGGACAAATGATCCAAATCTCAGCCCCAAGAGCACAAACACCGTGGGCTGGAGAGAGAAAAACAAGCAGGATGGGACTGCCTGGGCTGGAGCTGGAATGGGACAATGAACTCCAAGGTGCCAATGGAGCAGAACTGATCCCAGGGAGAGCCCCCGGGAGCGCTCGTGCATTTTGGGACCATTTCGGTTCATTTGGGTGCAGCCCTGGCTGGGCTCTGGTGCTGCCCAAGGTGGATCCATGGAGGAGACCCTTTTAATCAATCCCTGTTCTATTCTTTAACTCTGTCCAGCCTCTGCTCTAGGTCAGCCTTCTCAAGGCATCAGTAGATATTAATTTCCAACAGCTGGAATAAACAGCAACTATCAAGCACAAACCACAGCACAGCTGCTCTGGAAATCCAGAGGAAAGGCTCTGACAAGACAAGAGGCTGCTCTTCCAAAAGCTTCCTTATCCACATTGGGGAGGCAGAGCCTGGGTGGTGAGACACAGTCAGCCCCTCATGGCTCTGCTTTTATCCACTTGGGTGCCTCACCCAGGGAGCTGATCTGCCAATTCACTTCCAGTCCCTGGGGAAGCAATCTGGGTTTCAACTCTGGCTTCTTTAGTCTCAGGCTTTGCAGGCTTTTAGGCTTTAGTTATGAAAAGAGAACTTTTCACACTCCTGCATGAAGATCAGGACAACAGTACAGGATAATACAACACTTCGGTATGGCATCCCCTTAGATCAGGCGTTCAGTTTTACAAAGAATTGCAAAAAGAGAAGCTTTAGTCAAATATTCTTTAATTACTTCTGATCAGAGCAGATTCAGGCAATTCTTGATGTGCACTTAAGCAACAGGAAAAAAACCCAGACATTTAAGAAAACTGTTTTTTCCAGATATCATGGATATTAAACAGGCAGAGAAAGCATTACAGTATTTCAAAATTTCAACACAAGCATACAGAAAACGTACAGAAACTTTTTAAATGAGAAAAATATTTTTCTTTATGAGGAACATCCATAAGAACAACACACAGAGGAAGAAACTGTTCTCTTAATGGACAGAGGATGACAGATGCTTATTTCACAACATCAAATCATAAGAATAGTAAAAGCTATTCAAACATCAGATAACATCAGATGTATTTATTGGGCCAGTAACTGAACTTCCACCAGCATAATTTATTATATATAAATATATATATAATATATATATTTTATTTCTATTTCAGTTTATTCCAAAACTGAAATATAGTGCAAGTCCAATATTCTCCCACAACCAGACTGCTGTAAAGAGTAGGATAACATTCTTTTTAAATGCACCACTAGATCTTTAGTATTTGAAATAGTCTGGAAGTTTGGATTTATTATCTAATTTTTTAGAATTTTTTTTTCATGTAATTTTTGTAACAGTGTTTGTTTTGGCAGCAGAAATTCTGATTATGAAGAACTCAGAAAACACAACTCAAAGCCAGCAAAAAAAAAAAATCCCACCCACAATTATCCTGAAAGCCTCCAAAGTACACCATATGAATGTTAAGGAAAGAGTTGCCTATTAAAGCTCTGATGTCAAACATGCAAACCCAAAAATACTCTGAAATAAAGAGGTACTATTCTATATAACTTAATACCATGATCAATTTATAAAGGATTCCCACTTAAAGATCAGCAGCAGAGCTTCTGGGAGGTTTTAGAAAGGCTGTAAACATGATGCTTGTATTTGTAGCTTCTAGGTAATTCAAACCCTGATTTTCCAAATATTAACTAATTATTAACTATTACCTAATGTTAACGAACTGCACTGGTGCTAGAGATGCCAGAGCATTTCGTCAAAGGTCCACCAAACCTCTAATGGTGGTTTTCACTTATTTTCCCAATTGTGTCAAACCATCTCTTAGCTGGGGTGAGTTACATTCTGCTCAGCTTCCTTCAAATAAAGGAGTAAATCTAAGTATCATTGGCATACTGATGTGAAAGCAGCCAAAAATATCTGAAAGTTTTACCAGTCAGGTGGAGGATTATTTTGGGGTGGGGAGGAGCGGGGGGGTACCTGCACAAACTTCTCAGAAGCTTTTATGATTATATATGGCAATTACACACACGTCCAGAAGATACAGGCTGCTCCTTACAATCTTCACACCTGCCTACTTAAAAAGCACTTCTGGGGGCTCAGTAAATGAAATAACAGAGAATTGCTCAGAGATCTGGCAAATAAAAGATCCAAGGTGTGTTCTGGGCCACTGCAACATTCAAGTCTGGACACATTTTTAAGAAGTGTGTATTATACAAGGCTTCTAAATGTACAAAATTTGAGTGTGCAAAGAAAGATGATGCAAGGGGTAAAGTGGAATATTGAAAGAAAAGAATAGAAACCACTCCAGGAGATCATATGCCTTACCTCCCTTGAAACAGAAAGAACTACATAGTGCTAATGGCTTTGTAGATCAATAAACTGGCCTGAAAAGTATCTTTTAAAGCTTCACCTTTGAAACTTATATGTATTATTGCGCAAACATACTGTTAGATTCATCTCAGTTAAAGACCTGGTTTTGTTTTACATTTTGAAACTAACTGACAAAAAGCAGAGAAAATAATGATCAGTGGTGTTTAATTTTTGCCAGCAAAAAACCACCCAAGTGCTGGCTCTGAAAAGCTTTCATTTTTCTTTGCTATATGTGGATGTGTAAAGAAAAAGCAGCAATGAGAGGCTGATGTCTTGGGCAGGAGGCTGCTGGCTGGCTGCAGGCTGGCAGGGTGTTTGTGTCACCCAGGGCTCTGAGGCAGGAGGAGCATCCCTGCGCAGCGCAGGAGAATGACACACATCCCTGTTGCCATGGCTACCGCGGGGAGAGGGACCAATGGCCTTCTCCAGGCTGGCACTGCCACCGAGGGAAGGCAAAACCCTCCCAGACATCTCGGCTGAGCACAAGCACCGACATTTACACACGAGGGCTCGGTGCAGGTAACGTTCCTAAACCACGCTGGCAGACAGAAAAACATCCTTTCCTGCATTGCCTCCCTGCAAAAATAACTCCTAAAATATTCCTGAGATATTGGACTTGTATTAAATAATTTCAGGCTCTCCAGAGTCCATGCTAATTGACTTCTACAGCAGTAGCATTTCTATTGTACAGCAATAATTACCTTTCAATTGAGCATCAATATATACAATTTCTTATATTATTACCATCAGCTCCAAAGGACTGCCACGTTACTGAATATCACAGAATAACTTATAGGGCACTGCTGAGATTAGAAAAGGTCTTTCAGCCTATGTTGCTGCACTTAAAAGTGTTTTTGATTACTCACATTATGCTCTATGAAGAGTACAGAGATTTTTGGAAGGCTGATAAGCTGTTTTGATTTGCAAATTGAATTACTAAATTAAAAAATATAAAATTATTTCTTTACTTCTCTTTCAATGCTCACCACATAAAAATACTACAATTTAATCAATTAAAAAATTCGCACCAGTTAAAACAATAATAAAAAAACTTGAAAGTTTAGGGTAAATGTTTAACCTCAAGAAACCTCTAACAGATTATAGGAAAGCAATAATTTGAAAAACAAATACTGTAGGTGAAAATGTTTTTTGCTTATTTACATTATATTTGGCCATCTATTTATTAGCTAATTGCACAGAAAATGCATTTTACTAATGCTGTCTTACATTTCTTTCTCTGCATATATCTGACAGGTAAAAGCTCAAAAAAACCCCGTTAAAACATGGTGGACACGATTTTTTTTTTTTTTGCTTGTTTACTTCAGCAATGCGTAGAAATGATTTGTTCCTTAATAACTTGTCCAAGACCTTGTGCAAGAAAAGCAAGAAGAGTTACAGGATTAAAGAGGGAGTGTGAGGATCTTCAGTACCTGGGGATCAGAGCCATCAAAGCCTTCCTGGGAAATGATCCTCTGAATGGACTGAAGCAGCCTTGCATAACCGCTGTTCATATTCCTGTTGGTAAGCAGAAATATTTTAGTTACACGTTTTAATATTCTCCTCTATGTCTCTAACAGCTGTATAAAAAATAAATATGAACAGATGCAGCTTTCAGTGCAAGTGTCACACAGAAAAGAGGTGTCAGAGAAGAAAAAAAACAAACCCAAACTCTTTGAATAAAGTTGACATTATAAGCAGTTGTGATTACTTCATATTAATTAGTTCAGTGCTCAGACATTTAGTGAAAGCTAAAATCTCTAGGGATTAAGATAACTTAATTATGTCAGGCTCACATCTAGAAGATTAATGATTTAAGGTATCAACTTAAGAGTTGAAACCATTAGCCCAGTACTAATCTTCTGTAACTGATAGACATCTACCTAGTTGTTATTCCAAGTATACCTAATCAATGCCCTGATGAACAGAGCTGACTTTCTATGAAAATTTTCATACATTTTCACAGCTTTATTTGCATGACAGCAAAATTGTGAGGTGGCATTTATTCTATGTATTGTTTAGAAAATATAACACTCATAAAAACAAACAAAAGCAAACCACTGGCTAAAAATGGATTTAAGCAGACTTAACACAAAATGAAAGTTCAACACATCATCTTGTCAGACTTAGAAGCTCTTTACTTTCAAAGAGCAATTCAGGTTCTCACTTTTTAAAGAGAAATTGTTTTCTTAAATCCCATGGACCACGCCGGGTTGGATGTCTGGATTTGATGCAGGTTCCTCACTGCAGATTAAGCCCTTTATCTTTTCTGGCTTTGACATTTTTTTCCAGTCTAACTAACTACCATCAAAGGCTGAGGATTCCTGTACTTCTTGGGAAATAGGACAGGTTATTTTGGAAGTTTTACCTCTAAAAATTTTGCTTTGTTTGCTCCATAATTTATGTATGCCTGGTCTGGTAACAGCTCAGGTTGGAAGGCACTTGAGAGACCACCTGGTCCAAATATTAATGAAATATTATCATTAATATTATTCCCATTACTTTACTAAGAGCCTAGACTGTTATCCAAATGCATTTTTACTGATGAAAAAACCCAAATAAACTTGTTTTCATCCCTTGGCAGAGGAGAAAATTCAACTTTTCTGACAACCATGTAAAAATTGCAATGATCTGTCTTCCGCTCCATTGCTTCATCTCAAAAATGTGTGTTTCCTTTAAGAAAACAGTATCCACACATCCCCAACCCTCAAATATACTTGAGTTATAAATATCTACAATGAAAAAAAGTCATGTGGTCCTAATAAATTTGAGTTTTGAAACAACCAGTGGCCAAAAAAATTAGGAGATTATTTTTCTTTGATATGAACACAAAGGAAAGTTTCCAAATTAATCCCCATTTTTGTTACAGATTTAGTACCCTAGAAGGCTACTGATTAAACTGATGCACTTTAATAATTTAATATCCTTTATGAAAGTCAGAGCTGAAAATTAACTGGCAGTATATGATCTCAACCTGACATTTCATGCATAAAATCTGTCTTGCTATATAAAAAAAGCAAGCTGAACTTCTGATGTCCATTACTTTCTCAGTGTTCAGCTGCAAAAAGAATGGCTATTAAATGTTCTACCTACACACCATGGCAGCTGTCAGTTTACAGGGTAAACTTTAGCCCCCCACAGTAGCCAAAATTCTCTCTCTGTGACTTTGCATTATCACAACAGATAATATTTTATTTTGCAATCAAAATATTTGCTGATTTCTGATTCATTACTCACTTGTTTTTTAAAAGTTAGTGGATAAAAGAATAAAATAACCAAAGCACTAGCAGGATTAAAGGGTCCCAAAATTAAAACAAAGAAATAAAATAGAACTTCAATTAAGCTACCAGAAAGAGATTTGCAGCAAATAAAGAATATTTAAAAACAAAGTAATATGTGTAGATTTTTAAAAAATGTCAAAACAAGTGCTCTTCTACCTATTTCTAAAATATTCATAGTTTCCTTGAATTTGACCCATCTTATGTAAATAAGAACATAAAGAATATTGTAGAAACACTGTTTATAAAAGCTAGTTGCATTACCCTTCTGGCCATGTTTGTCACAATATTTAAGGAAGGAAATAAGATTTCTTATTTTCCAATTTCTAATTTTGGTTTTGTTGCTAAACACGACTTGATGTTGATAAAGAGTTTAAACAATTCCTTCTTTACTCTTTTTTTATTGTTTAGCACTTTAGTGATGGATAAAGCAGGAGCTGGCAAGAAGGTATCCTGGTTACAACAAAGGCTCTGACTTCTCTGCTGATAGTTTCCAAGCAGTTAACAAAGGTTGGGTTATCAAGGGTATGACAAATAGCCTTGTTATGGAAAAGGAGACTCCATTAGGCAAGACAGTCAAACCTGTTTTATCTAAATTTATTGGTAAATCTAGTTTCTAGATAAATGTATTCCTTTTTCAAAAGCACATACTTTCCTAAGGTAAGATTCACAAGAATTACTGAAAAACTACAACTTATTTATTTTGGTTCCTTTGATTATCAAACCTCCTTGTTTGGTAATTGCCCTGAAGAAGAGGACTGAAAGCAGAGATAGAAAATCAGTGTTGCCTGCAGTGCACAGAGCCACCAGAGAGGATATTCCTGCCTTCCTGCTGGGTGGCAGCTCCAGCAGTGCAGAACACCAGGATATCCTGGCAACAACAGTGCTGTCAGCCACACATCCCTGCAAGCCTGGGCCCAGCACTGGCACCAGGACACAACTGCCCTTCCCAACATTAAAGTGAGACAAGACAGAGAAGGTTTGTGCCTTCTTCTGGCCTCAAACACCCAGACCCATTTACTGCTGCCTTTAGGAGCACTGCCTTTGCAGCCTGTCTTCAATTAATTTTTATCATGGGGAAATGAACTTCCATCCACCTTGAGTGATTATCCCAAGGGAACTCTGGGGTCTAATTCAGCCATCAGGTCCCAGAGCTGCAGGAAGGAGAACAAACATGGCTATAAAATGTTATACCTACACTGGCAGGTGCCAGTTTACAGGGTAACACTTTGCCCTTCCCTCTATCAAAAACGAGATACACACACATGTGAAAACACAGGAAAGAAAAGAAACACTGATCCAAACTCTAAGGTGAACAAAGGATGCTGATAACCTCCAAAACTCATTTTTAATTGCAAAGAAAAGGTCAGTTTTAATCTAATCAGTCAAAAAAAATCACCTTTCTTTCCAAGTCCATAAAGAAACTAAGTGCTTGTGTGGATAGCTAGAGAGGCACATACATATAAATATACATGATTTCTCAAGAGGGCCAAGAGTTTCTGGCCTACATAAAGTCCCTACATCTCTGATCCTGCAAGGGAAACTCTGAAATGATCTTAGAAAAGACATTAGCTACAATTGCAGAGACAGTTCAGGTGAAATAACATGGATTTATTTTTTGGATTTAATTTAGACATCATGACTAATGTGAATTAAAGAATCACAAATACAGGGATGAAAAGGACCTCAATTAGTCTGACAGATGTTTACCTAGCTTGTCCTTAGGAATTTTTAGTGATGGAGATTCTACAATACTCCTAACTCATGACTGCAAGGCAACTTCTTGTGCCAATCATTAGAAAAACATCTCCATGTTTCCTGACTGTATTTTTACCACTACAGTTTACTGCAGCCCATGACTGCAGAAGACAGAGTTACATCCTCTGCATGTCAGCTTCTAACTCTGCTTCAATTTTCTAAGAACTTCCATTCTTCTTTTCAAGCTTTATATCAGGGACTGTAATTTTGAAAAATTCTTCCTTCCCACCTTGTATTAACACTGACCTAGTTCAAACTTTTTAAAAAAGGGAATCCAAAACCAACTGTGTTTGTGGTCAGAAATGACAATAACCAGAGTTAGAAGACAAATGACCTACTGTAAAGAAAGACTTACACAACTCTGCATTTCCCACAGATTTCTGTTTGCTATCCCCAGTGTGGCCTTTATTCCTTCCTGTCATATATCATATAGTTTTTAGCCTCCATGACAATGTTTGGGATGGTGGCTGGCTGTTACTTTGGTACCTGCCTTTACTCCAAACACCACAATTCCTTCATTTCCTTGGGAGATGCCTCTTGAAGGAGATCCTTGTTGAGATGGCAGGAAGAGGAAAAGGAGATAACCCTTCCAAAGCCCAGCTTTTTCTGATCATGTTCCTTACCTCATCACTCTGTGCTCTACCAATTTGCCAGAAAATTACATAAATCAAATCTTTCTGTTAGATTTAAACTAAAGAAAAAGAGTGGAACCCATATAGTAAGAATGATGCACTTTTATCAGACTAGCACACAAGGACAATATCAGCATTAAATAAGGCTTATAAAATCAAATGCATAGTCCATTCCTTATACTATGCTGATGAGTTAATTTGATTTTTAATGTAAAATGAATACTTGACAGCCATATAGTTAGTGGATGAGTCGCAACATTCTCCTTAGCTAGAGAAGAGAAAGTGAGTTAAATTGCTCAGTAACTGTAACAACACTTGCAACATGTCAGATATTTTTGTGTCCATCCTCTATTGGTCTGCTACTAAACATTAGAAATTATAGCATTAACATCTAAACAAAGTTGGTTCAAATATTTACTATAGAAGGAAGTTCTCTGCTTTGTCCTAAAATTGGGAGTTTTTTTATACTATCACAAGAATTTATTTCACAAAGCAGTGACATTTGATCATGTAACACAGAATAAATTAGAGAGAGACTTGCCTTTTCCTTTGCTACAGCTCTAAGACAGGTGGTTCATTCTGCACTTTCATAAATCTGAGGTTTTATATGAGTGCATTGCAGTGGAAATCCATCCCAATGAATCCCACACTGCCTGCAGGAGCTGGCCCTATACACTGGGATCTATAAAGCCAGGTATTATATAGGTTACATAAACTATACTATTATATAAATTCAGTGACTAGCTGGACAAAGAAATTGCTGGTCCAGCCTTGATGTTTGACTTGACTTGAAGTGTCTCCAAGGAAGATACAATGGACGTGTGTCTACAGGCTAAGATGAGTCTTTGCTACTGTCACTCATTTTCTCTCAGTCTTCCTTAATTCACTACTGACAGACATAAACATAATAAGTTATTCATTCTCAGAAGAGTTTGAATAGGAAATGTTTTGTAAGACGTAATTAGTGATTGTAATTTTATTCACAGTATATTGCATTTTCCTTAGGTGAAGCTGTAGGACGTAAGAAGTAAAAGCACATCATCAACTAATCTGATCTAGCACTCTAAGCTATGTAGGTCAAGGATGGCCTGTCTCCTAAGCCCTGAAAACTGCAGGCATCCTTTTAAGGCTGATAGCCACCTGACAAGCCCATCTCCGAGCTGCTGGGGCACGGTGCTCAGGGAGGATTCTCAGCCAGACAGGAACAGCTCTCCCAGTGCCCACACTGGGCAGCAGCAGGGCTGGGTTCAACATGCAGCTAGGCTGTCCTAGTAACGTCTGCCTTGATTGTCACTGCCATCCTGCTCCCTCCCCTGCCAGTTTTCAGCTTCCTCCTTCCTCTGTTGAGGTCAGGATTGAAGGCACTCGAGAGGATAGTTCACATTCAGACTCAGGTGTTTATTATTTCTTGTACATGTTACAGTCTCACAGCCATGAGTTCTGCAGTTCTTCACTAACAAGGCAAAAAATGGCTATCTCTTGTTACAAGGTCTTTTAAAGCTAAACTATCCAATTAAGAAATGACACCTAAATTATTGTTAATTTTAACCCAATAACCAACCACCTCTGCCTGCAATGTGGACTTTTTATCCAATTGCACAAAACCACCCAAACCCATGGAGAAGAAAGTGAAGAAGAAGGACCAGCCACTGCCCTAAAATCTCCATTTTGCTTTATATCTATTACTATATTCTAAAACCCCACACTCTAAGTTTCCTGCCCTGTGACATTACACATCTCTATTCAAACTCCACACCCACAATCCCAGTTCTGTCATTCCATTTTGGAAGCTTCTCCACGGCCTCAGGTCAAATGCAGAGTTCTCCTGGGGGCCAGTGCCTGTCAGCACAGAAGGTCTGAAATTCTCAGCAGCCAGAACTCCAACACTCCCCCAGCTGGGAGCAGAGCTCTGAGCTGTCTTTGTGCCCCTCCAGGCAGGTGGCACTGAGTGGCAACCACGGCCAAACTGCTCCTGACCCCCCCTCCATCACCACAGCAAGTGCAGACCCAAAAATATCCTTTCCTGCCAATATGCACGCAAAATCTAAACACAACAGGACCATGGTGTCAAAACTTACCACGTTTTCATTTTAGGCTCGAAAGGCAATTCTTCATGGAGGTAAAAACTGTGGAATTTTACAGACTGACACAGCTCTGGAGACATTTTCTTAGAAATATCATAATAATGGCCAAACTTTGTATGCATTGTTGGGCTGACCTGTAGAAACAATACTGATTACAATCTTAAACTATTATCTGTCAAAATAAAGTAATTAACTAGCAATGCCCTTCCAACCTCCTGTTTTTCCTCCATTCAGCCTAAATAAAAGCTTAAGGTAGAAAAACAGTATAATATTTACTACTAAGTTTTCATTCCCTCATTGTCATACCTGAATGAGAATCTTACACACAGAGTTCAACCTTTACTATCCCAAGTTGCAGCACCAAAGTGCAGTCAGATAATTAAATGAATGTATTTTTGCACAAGTTCTAGAGAGATGATCACGAATTTGCAAAGGCCAGATCTCTGAAATCAGCAGAATATCATGTGTTCCACCTCTTTGATTTTTCAGGCTCTGACAATTACATGGTGCTACAGAAATATTTTCATCTGACTTGGAAAATGTTTCTCTTTATTTATGATCAGTGAAAAAACCAAACCATTGCATCTTCATAGAAGTGATTTTAATAGAAAAATAGGAAATATTTTTAAATTATTTTTAATTCCTTGAAAATGGAATAAATAGTGGGTTAAGCATTACACACAATAACTATTATTTGCTGTAATTAAGATACGTCTTCTTCAGATCTTTATTTTGGTATATAAAACTTCATAAACCAAATTTAACATATACTTCAGCAGGAATTATACATTTTGAACACGCTGTGCTAATAAATAGAGGAAATAAATGCATCTGTTTATTCCACATTAATGGAATTCAGAACAGAACTTGCAACATTATTTGAACTATACATGTAAAGTTAACCACCCTGTCCTTGTTTAGGATTCCCTCCCAGACTGTTATACCATAAAATATTTAAGTAGATAGTATTTTACCAAAAATGTATTAAACTGTTAAGATTAATTAGAATTATTTTATTTAGGGCAAATATTTTGAAATTATTTGACTCATAGCTGTTAGGCAGGGTCAGTTACCAGAGAAAATCAACAGTTAACAATAAGGCACTATTTTCCTGGAAGAACCAATGAAACCAAAACTTTTAGCTAAAAGAAGTAATTAGTTTTTAATTTAAAAAACCCATGGAATTTCTTATGAGTATCTAATCATTAGAGGCAAACTAGTTTTACTAAAAAGAAAAAATAGAAAAGCACGTTCTCTAAATCAGTGTACCAATTTCTTGGTATCCGATTTTTAAAGTAGGTGGTTCAGTAAAACATAACATTCTATCAAAATTTAAATGTTTTTTATTGCAAAATGTAACTTTATTCAAAACAAAGGTTCTGAAAGCAATTTAAACAGGGGCTGTTCTTTGGCCTATAATCTATTCTTTATCCGGATTACAGATCAGAATGTTTTTACTGCAATCTCTGCCAGAGCTCATCTTTTTATTGTGTACTTCCAAGCCCCCTTAATGTTTTAGAAAGGCCTTGACTAACTGAACTTTGATCTGATGTCTTCATTGAGAAAAGCTCCAGGTTGCCTATTTCAGATGCAAATCCTTCCTGAGGCCCAAAAGAGTTTAGTAAAGACAGCAAAAAAGAAGAAACAAGAAGTTTCCAGGATCCTCTTTGAGAATCCTGAGGCACATTGGTGTCCTTAATCCACCCCGCTGCACGGATTAAGGTAGGTGATAACCTCTCTTGCTGCCAAAGAATGAGCACAGCGCCTACAAACTGGGTGGAGCCTGGGATTTGGCGCTAATAAAACCCCATAAAAGCAATAAAAGCTGGGTCCATGGCAGAGGGCCCTGAATAGGGCTCAGTGTCCTGCATTCCCAGGCTTAGCAGGGAGCTCGTGGAAAGCCTACCTGACTCAAGGAAGCATGAATAATGGAAAAGAGCAGAGCGGGCGCGCACAGCGCTCAGCGCACACTCACCATCCCTCTCTGATAATGATACCTTGGGTTGTAAGGGTTTCTGTTCTGGTTTTTCTGATTATATAAAGCTTTTAGCTTTATATAAAGTTATCGTTTAGTTTATTATAAGTTATTACTAGGATCTTTTCACAGGGTGATGGAGACAAGACAATCCTATTCCAGCTGGAGACTCAAGCACAATCTCTTCAAACTTCAGGCCCAAAGCATAAACAATGTGAGAAGAGGAGGGCAGGCAAGCAAGCAAGGAGGATGAAACTTCATCATTTGAAGCTATTCATTGGAAAGTTGGCTCCTGTGTGCAAATGGACTAAAACTTATAAAAATGTGAGATCTTCTAACCAAGCCCTCTTTTGCTTCCATCTTGGAGCATTCCGGGTACTGCCAGGGTGTGGCCTTGGAAGGCTCTTCAATAAATCTCCACTTTATTCCTCTTAACTCTGTCTAGCCTCTGTCCCAGCTCCTTAAGGCATCAATCTGAGCAGGCTGGAGGCTCAGGCCAGCTCTTTCCTGGATTCCTATTTTGCACAAGGTGAAATACACTAAGTTGTCAGCGAGCAGAGCGCGCTTTTATGTGACCGTCTGCTGTTAATGTTTCTAATTGCAATACTAATGTGCTAGAAATCTCAGATTTAGGATGAACCAAGGCAGAAAATTGATTTCATGCTGTGACAGTTTATATATTGCCCCAAGAACATAAGCAGTTCATTCAAAAAAAAAAAAAAAAACAAACGGAAAAACCACACTGTCTTGCATTGCAAAACAGGCTCTCCATATACTCAAAAGTTTAAATTAAATTCACCTCTGATACAGATGTAAGTAACAAACTGGCAAAGGCACAGCAAGCATAAAAAGGCCTTTAACTCTGACAGATTTCTTATAAATCTTCTATTTTTTTGTTATGCAAAGTATGTGCAATATGTAGAGAGAAACTGTGACAGCTGTGAAGGGCATTCATATAAAAACCATGCTTAAGAACAAAATGAGGTACCTGGCTAGTCTAACCAGGGTCAAATAAATGCAAAGGGAATATCTGAACTACCAATCAAAAATCTATTATTACTCAGAAACAGTAAACAAATCAATCATCAAAAAACCACAAAGACACCTTTTACTCAGCATTCCATCTCTGTATTTAGCCAGATAATGGATAGAAGAGTTTCTGCTATCATGTTTAGAGTTCTAGCTAAAAGAAAAGTTAATTTTTCTGTTTTGCAGTTGAAACTATTTGACAGTAGTTTTTGAAAATGCACTGGCATATTAACTCAATCAGTTTGGAAAACATGCCCTGGAATTTTACTCGACATTGGTTTTTACCAGCAAAGGAACATTTAAAGGAATCACAATCAAAGTCGTTCATTAAATTATTGAACTAAATGTATTGCTATGGTAGCAAGGCAGTATCAGATTTTTCCTCAATGGAGTATAATCACCAATCCAACTAACATAGAACAGAGACAAAATTTTATGATAGCTGCAATACAAAATATAGAAAAATATCAATTTAAAAGCAATTTTTCACCAATTAAAATGTCCTGAGGAATTTTAAATATAGATAGTTTAAGATTTATATTTTCTGTGTTTTAATTTTTGAATAAATTTAGCACACACAAAAACATTGTGCCTCAACTATTGAGAATGATCAAGGTCCAATTCAAAAAGCAACAATAACAAGGGAAACTCCCTCCAAAAGACCGAACATCTTATTCTACCTTACATAATCAATTTTCAATAATCACGGGCACATGCATATTTTCAAGAAATACTACATTAGAGGAAGAAATGGATACTGCTATGAAGTTAAAGAAGATGAATTTTCAAATAGTTTTTCTAATTTGTTAGAACATCAGAACTCAATTTGTTAACAACATACAATTGTTTTCATATCAATGTACGAGGAAATCTGCCAGATTTTAAAACAGACAAATTATTTTGAGGACGGTTCAGAGTGGCCCAGCAAGCTCCACAATAAAAAAATTGATGAGATTATATGATTACCCTGGAGGCTGTTTGATTTGGCATGTCACCATATATAAGTCTTTTCTGACACAACTATATAGCCATGTCTGCGCAATTTCACAGAAAACCAAACATGCCAAGCCTTGTAAGATCATTTTGTCACATTCCAATTATGTTTTTAAGAATACAACTGAACTTACTGGGCAGGTACGACTACATCTAAACCACAATTTATAAATGTAGACTAAAAGGTATAGACAAAACCAGGATTTTGTTCTGGATAGACAGAAATGCTGTAATTTTGTTAAAGATTGATTGTGCCACTGGATTAAATAAGAAAGCCACCAGCCATGGGAGACTGATTATTCACAAAACACTAACTGTAAACTCTGAAAGACTCACCACTGAGCTTCTTCCTTACATTGTCCCTGCACAGTGATTTGCTCCCAGTGACAGTGAGGCTGTCAGAATCTCAAGTGCTTGCTTTAGTTGTTATGCACATGGATAAGCAGGTCAACAGCTTCTTCAACACAGTACTTCCACTGCAGACATACAGTAAGCCGTACTGGTTAAACCTACTTAAGTAATTTGTGTGCAACTAAATTTGGGCCAAGTTTGGAAGCAAGCACCTGATCCAAATTTTCATAAAAAGCAGTCTTAATTTGATAATACTCATTGAAAAATCCCATTGAACTTAAATGTTCTTTTGTATTTTAAAATTACTATGGTCTGTATTGAGTCTTAGAGTACCTGCAAACTCTCAAATTCCCTTTCTTTTTGCATCACTAATAATTAAAACATTCAGTGGTGTATGATAGTTTTCCCTCAAGAAGCAATCCTGTAACACTGCCCATTAGTAGTTCCGTTGTCTAGGTCCTACTGAAAAGCATTTGCTTTTCAAATTCATTTTGAGTGCAAGAGGAAAGAAGCTGGAAATAGCCATTACCTCCATTTTTGGTAAATTTTGGTAGCGCCAGGCTATTTTCATAGAATCCTGCAAATCCTCAGACTTCACAGCTGCTGCTTCGTTCCCCAGTTCCTTCCCATGGGAATCATCAAGCAAAGGGGCTGGAAGTTCCTACAGGTAGAGAGCAAAAGAATGTCAGCTACCTCCAGCAGAAATGGCAGTTCAGATTTTTATCCACACCCCCCCGCTCCAGCTTGATAACACAGTTATCTGAGTAAAATGGGCCGCTGTAAAATCTGGAACAAAGCCTGATTAAAAGACCTCTTCTGAAGGACTGGCTCCTGCTAATACTGAGCAGGAAAAAACCCCATGTAATTATTGTTGGAAAAATGAATTACAGAAGTAAAAGAATGCAGAATGGAAATATCACATTTGATGCTCCACTTCATCTTGAGTAGGACCTATATTCATTTTTTCGTAATCTTTCTTTAGAGGCTGACTCCTAAACTACTCCATTTCTGAGAGTGGGCAAGTTCCCTGCATATTTAAGCTTATTTAAGCCTTTTCCCATAGCAAATGTAAGCCAATTTTAACATAAGAACTTTATTAGCTCCTGTAAATTTTCAAAAGTAACCAACAGACCACAACAGCCCAAAGACATCAGCTAAAAGCCACTGCAACAGGATGGTTTGAATTTTCTCTTCTGTTAACCATCAGGCATGACATCTACTCATGATGGATATCTCATGGACAAAAACACAGGAAAGGAAAGGGGGAAATGTTCAGTTCTGAATTTTTCAAAAGTTTCTAATGTATACTTTCTGCCTTTGCTGCACTACTGAAAAAGCATGAACGACACATGAAGAATTCAGAATTCATGCAATGGGCTTCTACGCCTACTAGCAAAATAAAATGCAATTAAGTGTCCTGCCCCAACTTTATCACACCCATCCCTGCAAGCTGGAGGGCAGAGAATCTCTGTGTGCTTAAAACAGAACAAGGCTTAGCTGAAAACTGTGTTTTCCTTGAGCAAAGACTCTAGAGGAAGAACTCTGACATGCCTCAAGGGTTAAACCCACACTGAGCTAGCCAGTAGCTCTGTTACAATGCACTGGCTGTGGAGACATAAAAAGCAAATTAGAAACCTTTAGAAGAAGGATCTGGAGTGAAGGTGGGACACAAACACTGCACACAGGCAGGGCTTATGGGGACCATAAATATCCAGGAGACACTCATGGCTTTGCGTGGGTACACATGGCACAGACACATGCAGAAAGGAGACAATGGAAGTTTACCCATGTCCATCTTTGGTTTGGTGTTACACTTATTTAATATTAAATAAATAATTAATATCAATATCTAATATTATATTAGATACTATATATCTAATATATTATCTAACAATGAATTATTAATTAATGCTAATATTAACCCCTAATTAACTGAAATTATAATTTAATAATAAAATTAGTACTTAATTTTATTAATATGTTACTATATGAATATTTATTTTATTTACATTTTGTTTATTTTATTTACATTTATTTTATTATTTATTATTCATAATTTAAACATTAACATACTAATCCTTTACTAACAATTAATATTAATAACTAATACGATTATAATTAATAACTATTAATGTGTATAGTTCCATACATAGCTTTACCAATATATGCTACTTTGTTTCTTGTGCATAAATAAACATAGCATCTAGAATTATTGAAAAAAGAGATTTCAGACAGCTGCTTCTGTCTCTTTCTGGGGTTGGCCACTACACCCTCTGAGGTCCCAGGCAATGGAAGTTATGAAAACTTTTATAAACTTTATGTCTTAATAAAATTGCAGAAATAGAACAACTGTATCTGTGTGTTACAGCAGCTCAGCAAAAAACACAAAGAAAGCCAATTTTATTTCTTTTGCTTTTACAAATGAACTGCAAAAACCTGGTAATGACTACTCATAAGAATGATGATGTACAGAGTTATATTTTCAGATTTATCACAGCTTGCTTAAAAAATACCCTTGCATACAATAAACTTATTACTATGGTAGTAAAAATTAGGCTTTCTGGAAAAAGTAGGAAAGCTGCACGAAAATTAAAATTTTGATTTAGAATTTACAGTTTTCATTAAGTTTACAGATTTATAATAGCCATTTTAATGAAAAAATACTTTAGTCAGAGTTCCATTACATCCACCCAACAAGAAAGCAGGCAAGCTTTCAAACCAAAGATTTCTGACAGGTAGAGAAAATAGAAACAGAACACTGCACTGAAAGGTTCTGAGAAAGTCAAAGTACAAACTAGAGCTGACAAGCACCCCGATACATTTCACATACATGCAGATACAAACCACTTCCATTTACTTCTAAGAGCATTGAAGTACTACTTCATACTACATATGAAGTATTTTTCTGAACAAAAAAAGAGGTTACTTTGAATTGTTAATTTTATAACACAGCTATACTTAATCAATCTTGTTTTCCAGTTGAGATGTTACCTTGAAAACACATGCTGATAGTTAAACTATCGTGCAGATTTAATTTCCTCATACAAGAAATAGCCATAGATTTAAACATATTTAATAATATTATTAATAGATTTAAACTTCCTATCATTAAAAGATCTTTCTTTTTCAGTGAAGACCTTCTTATCCTTGATCATCTCAAAATATTCCTCATTTAACAGTAATTTTAAAAACTCCAAACGAAGATTCATTTAAAAAACTGAATTCTGCAAAGAAGAAATTTGGAGGCCTAAACATTTTCAGATCAACTTGCTCCCAGGTAATTTTTTTGTAGTAGTGGGTAATCTCTGTTTTTTTCTGACAACAAGTGCCTGCAGAAATCATGAAATCTTGCTTAAGCATTTCATCCATGAGCTTGCCCCTGCTTCAGACACCACCACAGACAGAAGAATTTGCTCCCTCACCCTGCTGTAACATCATTGGGCAGCTTTCACACCACCTGCAAAGTCAAAAGTCAGGAAAAGGCATGTTGTACCATTCCCCTTCCTGCAGGTAAAGATGAAAACAGCAGCAACATTTCTTAAAGCTATTTAATATTTTTCTCCCCTAGAAAAATCATTTGTGCCGCTGGTTCATTGTATATATGTTCATGGTTATATAGTAACCGGGAAAGTTAAATTTGAGACAGGGACTTAATTACATAAATTTGTGTATTTTACTCATAAAATGTATTTTATGCAGAAAAAAGAACAGAGGTCAAGACAATAATGGTGAGAGGTTCTCCAAGTTGCTTAAATAACCTCATGTAACACTGAGAAAAAGTTCCTGCCTTCCAGTCAGAAAACAAAACCTTCTTACATGGCCCTGTGTGGCAGGGAGACACCACAAACCCCAGCTGCTGACACCCAAAAAACTCAGCCCAAAACAATCAGAGGCACACACCATCAGTGCAACACAATTAGGCACTGTGGTGTGTCCTAACTGCGGCTAAGAACCAAGCAGATTAAGAAATCAAGGAAAAAAATGGTTTCACCTGAAGCTGATAAAAGATTTTGGTTGCCAGAGATGGAAATCCATCTAAGGATCATCTGAAACAGGCTTTATTTTTTTGTCACTATAGCTTGCTTTTCATTTCTAACACAATAAAGCGTTTTTATTTTGACATAATAAAAAACTTCTGACAATAGAAGAGCACATGCATCAGCTTAGATCTGGTTTATTCTGTCTTGTCCCTTGCAAGGAAAAGGAGAAAAGACCAGGAGCACTCCAGGAACTCTCTCAGACCAAAATCAACTTCAAGCTACTTTTTAAATGCCTAATAACTCCCATGCTTAGCTGAAGAATGTTCCTTAGATGTACCATGTTCTTGTCCCTGTGCAAGGGACACTGAGCTTTAAGACATTTCTGGGGCTACCACATCTCACAGCCATGCAATTTTCTATGCCAACACTGTTCTAAAGAAAAGATATCCTGAATTACACTCCTGGATGTGGGGGCTGTGAGCTACATGGCCTCTGAGAAGGCTCTGTACATAATAAGCTGCAGTCTGGAGAAGCAGCTCTGCCTTTGGATATTGTGAAGGCCAACTGCCTGAGCTCAACCTGTTTTATTAACTTGGTTAACTACATTCCAAGATGTACTTGAGCACAAAGGGGGTTGGGGGGGAAATTCCAATCCTATTCAAGGTATATCTGTAATTTGATCATATTCTATATAAAGAACAATAAGCAGAGCTAATAAAGATTGGTTACCTCTAGATTTGCATCCCAACTTTACCATTGTTATCCCAGCTTCAGATACTCTCAATTCCATTTACACCAAGCTGTCAGAGGAAAAAGAGGCAGAACATGCAGGGGCTGTTTGAAGGCATGTCTGTGTTCCCCAGAAGCCAACATGCCTTCATCAGCCTCCTGAAAACTCAAAAAAATACCTAGTCACAGGTTTTCCTCAGGATGTACCGATTCATGTATCTCAGTCCTTAACTTAAAAAAAAACCTTTTACCTTTGTAAATTTTATGGGTTCTCTCCCTAAGTAAACTAAAGAAAGACTATACTAAAACTAGTAAACTAAAAGTTGTAAATTTTATTTCTTTACATTTTTAATAAAAAGAAAAAAGTTATTAAAACAATATTCTAAAAGTTTTATTCTAATTCTTAATACTCTTTCATTAATTACTATTAATAAATTTTTCTTTATACCCTTTTAAAATTTTAAACCTACTTTACCCTCCTCCTAATCCTACCTCACAATAAAAAGTAAGAACACTAATAATTAACCAACACTAAACCCACCACAGTCCTTCATACATGAGCCAAAAAAATCTCAAAATTAACAAAATCTCAAATTAAAAAACCACTACAGTAGGCAATATTGAAAACACTGAATAAACCACACATTTCTTTTCTTCATATCTGCTTTTATTCTTCACAATAACTGGAAGTGGAATGAAAGGCTTTCCCCTCTTCTGACTCTGGAAATGAAATGCAATTCTTTCTTTCAAGAAAGGAACTGTTTCCAAAGCTGACCATGCCTGAGTGACACAGAGCACTTCAGTGTGAGAGTTGGCAACCCAGCTGTCATTGCACAGATCTATCCTCAAAAATATTTCTGTTATTACACAGATAAATCCTCAAAAATAAAGGCTGGATGCTTGGATCTATACTTTGCAACTTCTCAGTGCCATGAAAGGGTTCATTACTGCC